CTGTGTCCTATTTGGATACTCGCCAGGATACAGAGAAATTTTGCTATATAAACCCATGTCAGGAGCTGAAAAATCAGAACTTTCCAGCCAGAGAGAAGAGCTCTCCAGACACCGAGAAAGAATTCTCTACCCCTCGAGAAATTTCCAGATAGTTAGGACCATGCAGTTGAGATCTGGCAATCTAGCCACTGCCTCCAAAGTTCCAATTCTACAGTAAGTATCTCTCTCTCTAGATCAGCCTTTGCAAAAGTATTAAAGTTTGTTATTAATGTTTAAAGATTTGGAATGTTGAGTATTATAGTAAGAAACTGTTATTAAAAGTTAATAAAGATTATTTTGAATATTATTGCTGGTCTGAGACTCATGTTCTTTAGTCTAACTGTAAACTCCTGGAGTTAGCGACTTGTGGCTCCACTCGTCACGACAAATCCTCAAACAAATAAATTTGGTGTACGGGTTGGTTTTAATTGAAGCTTCAACAATTAAGCTCACCTGAGTGCTAACCTGTTACACTTGTGATAAAATTGTCTGGTTAAGTAGTTGGCTACAGAGACAAGGTGAATTGCGAAAGTGTTTTTAGCATTTTTCAGACAGTTAGTTTAATCTTGTAAGAGTTAAGACTTGCTGTGGAAGTCTTATCCTTGTTATCTTCAGGTTTTCTGCTGATTGTGTGTGTGTGCTGCATTTTTCATTCAATTACCTTTATTCAAATTCAGCCATTCATTTCTTTTAATTTTCACTTAGTTTGATCAACTATTATTTATAATAGTGTTTCATTTTTATTTTAGTTTCAACATTGTCTTGTCTCTTTCATTTTACTGTCAAAAGTCATTATACTTGTAATTTCACATATTAGGTCTTTAAATCTTTAGTTGTAGAGATTGGATTACTATGTGCTAAGTGTTTATCCTGAAAATTACCACACATCTACAAACAACTTGATTGCATAAGTACTCTTTTGTTGTATGAAAGCGTAATCTTCAGAATTTATAAATAACCATCTGTACACATATATATATGTCATTGGTGTTACTTAAATTTTCTTTCTTTGGAAATTAGGTACAAAAATTGATTTGCGAGAAGACAAGGAAACACTCCAGCTATTATCTGAACAGGGGTTATCTCCAATAAAACGAGAACAGGGCCAGAAACTGGCCTCCAAAGTGAGAGCAGTGAAATACTTGGAATGTTCTGCTCTCACCCAGAGAGGGCTTAAGCAGGTGAGACAAAAGTAATTTCTGTAATAGATCTGTAACTTGTAAACTTTAAATATCTTGTGATGGATTTACTATTATATATTTATTTTAATATCAATATTTCTTTAAGTTAAATTTATATTTTGAAATGTACATAACTTATACTGTTAAATCTGAATTATGAAACTCTCGCTTATTCCCTAAAGTTGTAGAAGATTCTCAAGTATGAGAATCAACAATACATGTATGTACGTAAACACTAATGTATCATCAGTATTGTTACATAAGCTGAAGTTTCAAGAAATTCTCCACACAGCTATAAATATAAGTAATGCGGCATGCCAAAAAAACAGTATCTATTATTGGTTTGCTATAGTTGGTGTGCTATAAACTTTAGAAGCTATAATTTTCATTGTTATAACACTTATTAATCGGGACACTTCAGATATTTAACCAGGAACGTTTATAAATTTTAAATATTACAAACCATTCAACTTTAGTGAATTCACATTGGACATTAGTACTTTTACGAAAATATTACCTCACGTCATCAGTGAAAAAAAATTGGCGTGTGATCAGTGAAGACCACAGAGCTAGCTAGCTCCCTATTAAGTAAATTGTACCTTTATCAACTCAAAATTAACTCACTCATTGTGAATCCTCGATAAGATATCAAGGAAGTTCCAGACCAAAAAGAAGTCTTTATATTGCTTGTTAGTTTGTAAAACTTTTGAATATAAATCATTGTTTGTAATAAATATTTGTATAAAAAAAAAAAGGAAACTGTGTGTATCAATCTTGTTGGCAAATATCATAAATTGTAGATATATATCGTGTTACATATTGCAAATTTGAAATAGTCCGAAGCCAATATTTTAGTTAATTTATGCTATTTTCCAATAAAGATTGACACACACCATCTTCATTTTTCACACAAATACATTTTATTGTATATATACAACAGTACAATTTACAACAACAATTATTACGAATAGTTACTACAAGCAAAGTTTTATATAAACTCATTCCAAACAAATGTTGTCATTAAAATAAATATATAACAAATTTGTTATACGCAATACATATCTGACACTATAAGTTACGCATATTTTTAAATACAAATTTAATCTAAACAATGTTCATATTAAAAATAAATACATAACAATAAATTTGTTACAATCAGCAAATATTTAACCACTAAATCTAAATTACAATTTAACTCCGTTTTAGGCTATTTGAAATTGTAATATGTAACAATATTTATTTTGAGTGTTTTAATTCAAAACTTTTATATTTTCATATTACTTTAAAATTAATAAAAGAATAAGAATTTCTTTTTTTAATGTTCTAAACTGTTTTGTTTTAACTACCTAATAACTTGTGTGTGTGTCATTTTTTTCCAATTCCCAGTCCAATAAACACTTGCTTATCTTTTTCTCATCCTTTAATAGTACAAAATTATAAAAGTAATTTAAATATTGGAAGATTTTTCACAGTAACATTTAAGTTATTTTTTTTCAGTTTGACTTCATAGATATAGAAAAAGTACATATAATAGTTAAAGTACCCATATAATTGTATTAAAAATAACTTTATGCACTATTTTTATGCCAGTTGATACAAGTAATCTACGGGAAATTTATATTTCATTTCTTTTATTTGTATTCAATTTTAAATGATGTTTAATTTTATTACATTGCCTTCTTATTCTTTGTAATATATACTTATTTAAACACTATGGCAAAGAAATCTTAACTATCATGGTGCCTTATTAAACAAGCAGATATAACAGCTTGGTTTAAATAATATCTGTGATAAAGCTAAAATTGATCTATTCAAATGTTACTCATAGAATTCAAAAATAATTACTTATAAGTCAAGAAAACATTAAATATTCTAAAATGTAGAAATTTGTTATTGTGATATACACATTTGGATATATATTTTTATTCCATTTAGGTATGCTATTGTTATGTGTACAGCTTTGTTGTCTATTAGTAGTAATGCTAGTGTATAGATAAACTATAATAAAGCCATGTCTATATATATATCCATATTTTTGTTTTTCATATTCATACATATTGTTACAAGGGGTACCTTTACACTGGATAAGAAAAAAACTATGCTGACACTAGTAATTTGTTGTTTCTAGTTTGTTTCTGGTAGAACCATTCCTTATTGTTGATATATGATATCCAGTGAGTATTGAGATGAACACTAGTTAAAAACTGCTGATAGTGGTAATTTGCTATTTTGAGTTTGTTTTCTGGTAAACTGTTCCTTATACTCTACATAAGATTTTCAGTGAGTATTGAGTTGAACTCTGTTTAAAAACTATGTTATACTGGTATTTCATTAGTTCCAGTTTTATCTGCTAGAGCAATTCCTTATAATCTTCATTTCAGCTTCCTTGTCACTTGCTAGATCTAGGCAAACAAATTAGTTTATCAGTATCATTCACATGATTATCTTTTAATATGTAAGAACTGGCTTAGATGGTGCTTGTAGAACAGACAAAATATACTCTGCTGATTTCCAAGATAGTTTGGATATTTAGAATCATCAAGTAGTACTCTGATTTGTTATAAATGTGGTAACTTGACAGGACATTCACAGTATCACTTTTTTTTTACCCTAATTTTGGGACAATGCTGAAAGTATACACACCCTATTTGTCTTGAAAAAAAAAATTATCTTATTAAACAAAAACACAGGAAATACATGTTTTAAATTATTCAATCAATCAGACTTGGCAGGTATTTGGGTGAAAGAGCCCAATGTGCGAGCAATTTTCCTTGACCCTGCTAGTAGTTGCTCTTGCTTTGAATGATAATATGTATAGAAAGAAACACTGACATCCTTTAATCAAAGCAGCAGAAATCTATAAGTTTAATATCTAGGCTGAGATCTGTAAATCCAATGCCAAGATTTAGATATGTGGGAAATGTGAGTACCCCGAGGAAATCCACTTTCACTGGTCAAGTGCCTAAAATTCTACCTGGACAGTGTTAGATTTATATTTGAATGTATGCATATAGATGTAAATGTATTACTTTGGAAATGACATGAACTGGAAGCAAAACATTTTGATATAGATATCAATGTGTATATTTATAATGCATTAAATGTTTTTCATAATTAATAGTTGTAAGAAATGAAACAATCTAAAATACAACAAACATTTGTGGCAGTTCCTTTGCTACCATACTCTAGCTATACTTTTTATGTAAAATAACAAACTTTAAGTTACTATTTTTGTTTTATTTTAAATGTTGCTAAATGTTATCTTCAATAACCATTTAACTGCAGCAAATGACCTGCTGCCTCTATATTTTTCATATTCGAAAGTACAGAGTAAATTGTATTGTTGTCCAGAAACAACCTTTTATTAGATTTTATTAATATTTAAGTATAGTATCATTAAAAGTGTTTGTTTTAAAGAAGTCATAAGCTGAGATTGAAAAATGAATATATCTCTGTTCATCTATTTAATTTAAAAATTACTGTACAGTTTTCACTACCAGTACTAAACAACACCTAGAAATTAATATACCCTCAGACATTTAAAGTAATAGTAGTATCAAATAACTAAAAGATTTATCTTTTAAGGATATTCACATATCAAGGTATAATAACAAATTACAACAAACATGTACAAACCTTAATGTGAAATGAATATTCCCATGGATCTGTGTTCCAAACATTTACTTTAACAATTATGGATAACTTATGCAACCATGAACCCTTTAAATTGGTTATGCAAATTGTTATAAAAAAATAATAAGTTAATGCAACATGATCCACTATTAAAACTGTTTGAGAAGAATGATAATCATCCAGTAAAAAAAAAGTGCATAGATTAAAAGTGAACAAGTATTTTTATAACAGTAAGTTTGTTTGTTTTTCTATTTCCAAAGAACATTGTTTATAAACTTCTAAAACCTCCTTTTTTTGTTATTCCTGACAAAGTTAGTGAGAGATCTTCATAAGTTTGAATGTTATACCTCAGAATTTACTGAAATCTGTTTAACAGGTATTACTTGAAATACCATTGAATGCTTTTAGGATTAAAGAAACTATTATTTATAAAGTGATGTATATACTCTGGTCTACCTAATAATAATTATTTAAGAAGAAAAAAATATATAGCTGAACTTTAGTCTCTCCAGAGAAAGTTTCTGTATTAGATCAATAAAAGTACTAATAAAATACATTATTCCCATTAAATCTTATATATGTTGCAAACTGTGGTGTCTGTCTGAGCATTTGTCTGTCTCCCGTTTACAGTGGTGGCTTCCCACACTGCGTTTGAAAAGTTGTGCACACAGGCAAAGCTCAACATTTACTTTTGAAATGACAGTAGAGCAGGCATGAATAATGTTGATGCCAAATTTTAGTTTGTAAGCAGGATATTCTACACTAAATTGTTAGGAATTAATTACACTATCATTCACATTTCAAAATGTGACGTACTTAAAGAATGAAAATATAGATTTACCATATACTGTTGTTGAGTGACACTTTGCATGACTGAAGTGCTCAACAATTACTTTTTAATGGTGGACAGTATAAGTAGCTCAGAGCTTTGGCTCTGCATAGAACCAAGAGTGCATCACAATTAATCTTATTAAAGTCCATGAAATAAGTTAAATTGATAGAATAACTTAAACTTTTCCCATTGCTGGGGTGGGTACTTTTGCTTGTCTCTATAAGTTCATAAATAAGAAATAAACATTATAAACTATTACATTAAAGATGTACTGTTTTTACTTTATTTATCAGTATTAAGAGAACTATTACAAAATGTATGTCCATTCTTTAGTTCTCTTACATCAGTATTCCAAGATGATGTTACCTACTCACTTAGAAGACACTTTAGATTTAAGAAGAATCTTTAAGCATAACAATTTTCTATGTCATAATTGTAAAAGTATTGAGAACAACACAATATAACTGATGATTTTAAGGGTCGTTTTTTGTATGAATTGTTATAAAGAAACAGTTTTAAATTAAAAGAGACTTTCCTTTTTCTTGATGTAGTATGAATAAGGTAATTTTGATTCTCTGTATCCAAAATCATCTCATTTATGCCCTGTGAAAGCTAAAACTCCATCTAAACACTTGTTAATTAGACTTGATAAAATATTTGTAAAAATATAGATCAGATGATACATTTAAAATTGGGTGATGAACTAGAAGAAAACTTGAGGTCAATTAATTTATATTCTTTTTCAACCTTCTACACTATTTCTTCTCATTTAAGTGATCTTTCAAGAATCCTTTAAGCAAATATTCCTAGGATATCATATATGTTGCGTTTCTCCTCAGTCATTCTTTCTACTGTTTGTTGTACTATCAACCATACTTGATGTTTGGCACAAAGTTTGTTTTATTTTAGCTTCAAGTAAATATTTTCTGTGTGGAGGTTTGCTTCTCTTTATTTGAATGATTAAGTACAAGAATACACTTTGTTTTGTCTTAAACAGTATTTAAAATCATCTAAAACAATACAAATTGTCCTTTATTTAGAAGAAACATGTTAAAACGTATTTAAAAACCCTGCAATTCAAAATAAGAGCCATTCTGTAAACTTGTTCAGGTTTTTGATGAAGCTGTTCGTGCTGTACTACGACCAGAACCTCAGAAAAGACGGCAACGAAAGTGCAAGCTTGTGTGATTTACATTTTTGTAGTTCTTCTTGCATGTCATCATCCAGAAGTCTTAGAACAGTGCCTGCACCAGCTAGTGAAAGCCGATAAGTATATTAAAACACATAATGCTTAAATACTGAACTTCAAAATTTGGACAATCTCAAAAAAATGTATAGAGGACTGTGGAATAAATTCTTTTGGATTAACTCTTAATTTTATCTACTTTCATAGAATGTAGGTCTAAGACTAGAGCAATATGTATAAACATGTTTATGAGAGAATATTAGATGCAAGTTTGTATGTGGGTTGTACTGCAATATTATCAACATTTGGTACATTATTTTCTTTTGCTTTATCTTTATTTTTTTTCTTTTGTGACAGTTTAATGTATGTATTTGTAGTGTCAAAGATAATTTATTTAGAAGTAATTAATATGGAACTGATAATTTGCAGTGTGATCATATAGCTCACAGCACCATTTGAAAGAAGAATATAGTTAATTATGCATTTTGCAAAGGAACAATCCAGTGTATGTGCTTAGCCACTCAAATCGGAGGAAGCTTCAAATGTCAATATTCCTAAGGGTTTTATGGCATTTTTCCATCAGTATGAATTGTATTTATTGTTATCAACATATATATTTATATATTATGACTTAAGGATGACAACAAGGAATGATAATGGAGATATAATTTTGAATTTAAATTTATTATATTCTTTCTGGTTTATATTAAGTTCATTATCCTTTTATAGTGCTGATTTTAATTATCTATAAATAATTAATGTACTGCATAGCATTAGGTATATTGATTTACATATATAAAAATTAATGATGCACAAGTCATTAGAAATGAATCAATAAACATACAGTGAAGATTTGCAATAGATACTTTATTTGCCAGTACAGTATAAACACTATTTAAATGTCTTTTTTCCTCTCTAAATCCTTTATTGATTTACTAATAAAAAGTACATGTCAAATTAAGTATTAAAATCTTAAAACAAAGAACTCATTCAGCTTTCTTTTTCTAAACAGTAATTTTCCTAGTTATTTGAATTATACCCTCTCTAAGAGGTTAAAGTTCAAGGAACTTGTGTAAAAATAATGAAACATTTTTCAAACAATCAATGTTTTTTAACTTACACAATTAAAATCTTTATTCTGAGACTGTTTAACAATCTCAAAACAACCACTCTACATGTTTCAATGTGTATCACATCATCCTCTGAAGTTCTAAGTCTAAAAAAACAACTGTTCCAAAAGTATTTATACCAAGGTTGTTAATCATGTGACTCATACTACAACATAAATGTACAGTAAACCCTAAAGAAGGTCACGCCATCCGTGTATTTTTGACCTGCTAACCCTTCATCCTTATTCAAAGTTTGGCTATTGTTATTGTGTTTAATTATTTCAATAGATTCTCTGATATTTCTAGCAGTCATATCATTTGGTTGAGCCAAGATAAGAGTTTTCCCACTGAATGATATGACCAGTATGACTTGCATACATTAGCTGAACATGTAAAACATTAACAAAAACTTGTGTGTAAAATTAACTTTTTCAATTTAACAATGATTTACAAACAGATTGAAGGTCTAGCCATGGGTTTCCAATTATCTCCACTATAAGTTGATCTGTTCATGGATAAATTTGAAAATCTTGCTTTAAAAAATGCTAAACTTAAACCTGAAATATGGATTAGGAATGTTCATGACACTTTCTTAGTATGGCAGCATGGTAAAGTAGACTTCATAGAATTTGCTAATTACCTAAACAGTTTAGAACCCACTATTAAGTTTAGTTATGAGATTGAAGAAAACAATAGTTTGCCATTTCTTAATTTACTGGTAAAGAAAAAAGGAAAATAAGTTAGAAACTACTACTTACCATAACTCTTTCTCACTGAGTTTTGTAGATAGAGCTGTGAAGAAATTTAGTAGAATTAAGAATAATGATCAAAAAAGTAAATAAAATCAACGTTTGATAGAATCAATAAAACTGAAATGTTTGCCATATGTCCCTGGTTTATCTTGCCAAATCTTTCAGAAATTTAAAATGAATGTAAAAACTTTATTCCAATTTATAAACCTTTGAAAAAATTAGCCAAATATTAAGTAAAACTAAGGATGTAATTACTCTAATGGTAAAAAAAAACAGGTATCTATAAAATTGAATGTGAAAGTGTATACATTGGTCAAACTAAAAGAAATTTAAAATTTAGAAAAAACAAACATAAGAGAAATGTTAAAAATCAAAGTGAAATTTCTGCATTAGCTGAACATGCAAGTCATACTGGTCATATCATTCAGTGGGAAAACTCTTGTCTTGGCTCAACCAAATGATATGACTGCTAGAAATATCAGAGAATCTATTGAAGTAATTAAACACAATAACAATAGCCAAACTTTGAATAAGGATGAAGAGTTAGCAGGTCAAAAATACACGGATGGCGTGACCTTCTTTAGGGTTTACTGTACATTTATGTTGTAGTATGAGTCACATGATTAATGACCTTGGTATAAATATTTTTGTAAAGGTTTTTTGTTTTTCTAGACTTAGAACTCCTGAGGATGAAGTGATACACATTGAAACATGCAGAGTGGTTGTTTTGAGACCATTAAAACAGTCTCAGAATAAAGATTTTAATTGTGTAAGTTAAAAAAGTTGATTGTTTGAGAATCTTTTAATTTACTCTCTCTAACATGATTGACACTTTTTTATGCAACTACATTCAGTAGCTACTATTGAAGTGAATAACAAGAATGTATTGATCTTGTAACTGCTGACTTTGTAAGGGATTGTAAGTACTTATTACAATTATAGAACATTAAGAAACTTGAACATTGAGTATATTATGAGAGAGTAAACAATTCTGAGCACTGCTTGTATTGTGGGAGGGTAAAGGACTGTATAGTGTTTTGAGGTTTCTGAGAGAAAAAGAAATCATAATTGATGATTTTATTTGAGGATGCTAGGAAGTGTCAAATGTTATAGGGAAGCTCATAAACTGGAATTTTGAGTATTTTAGAAGATAGAAAATAATTTTATGCATCACATATATTTATGGAAAGGGGAACCAGAGGACTGTGAGCTAAGTTTTAAGAAAAGTTAGGAAGAATTTGCACATAAATAAATATGTTTTCTTTTTAGCAATTATTATCTAGTAAGGGTGTGACATTATGATGATAATTGCAAGAAAGAAACCATCAATTCAAGACGAGATTCATAGGCTGTGCATAAATATTAAGGTTATTTAACTGTTTTTGTCTGTTTCCACCATTTAGATTTCTTCACAAAGGCAAGGTCAGAACTTGAGAAGTTAATGTAATTTGAATGTGTCATTAGGTAACATTTTATGACAAGAAGTGAACAATGAAGTACCAGCTATCTTCGTACATAGGCTTTTTTGTAACACATCATCTATTTACTCTTAAAATTTAGATTTAATAAATTTTAAGTTTATTAACTTTTCTTCCTAGGTGATATAGTTATATTAAATTTTAAAAAACTTCTAATCTTGGTTTTGTAGATATTAATTCCATCACCATTCTGCAAGAAATTGTCAATAGAGCATATCAGTTTGTTCATTAATTTGTTCTTCTGACTGGTTAGTTGTTATTATTTTTTCATTAAGTATAAGTAATGTGCAGGATCTTTTTATGAAACATATTACCTGTGCAATACCAAATCATATTTTAAGGAATACTTTAATTTTTTTTATATGACCATATGATGCCAATTTTAATTAAAAAGTAAGTTGACTTTCACTGATTATTAATTAGTGTTGGTCAAAAACAAATACAAGTTAGTTAAACTGTGTCAGACATGTCCTGAAATAAAAAGTGAAAGGCTTCTGGCTCATATTAAAATAAATTGAAAATGGAGTTAGTAATCTGATTAGGTAATATTGGTATTAAGTAATTTACTTGGACTATTACCATGTTGTTGTTTTTTAGATTTTTTAATGCACAAGCTTTCGACTCAATTACCTAAGCATTTTACAGGTGTGAGACGTTTATTAAATAACATGATCTAATGAAACAAATCAAATTGCAAGTTGCCTAGCAACAATGAAACACAAGAAACATGGTGATAGTCCAAATAAATTACTTAATACAAATATGAGTACTCATGTTAAAAGCCTGAAAAGTTACTTGATTAGGTAATATCTCACCTTAATAAAAAGTATGACGAATGATGTCCAAGATAAGAACTTAAATGTGTGGGACTTTGTTTTTTAGTCTTGTACCTTTGACAGTTTTTAGATTAAATTTTATGTCCTTGTTGTTCCACAAAAACGTAAGATGCATGACAAACTTATGGAGGATTCTAATGCAAGGGCTAACTTTTGTAGAGATCTTTGTTTTAGGTTAGTTTGGAATGTCAGTTTTTGTGTTTTCTGACTAACTGTAGCAATTCATCGATGAGAGTATTTGAAAACTGTAACCATAGATTTCTGTGTAACAAGTGATACAGTAGTTTTATAGGTGGAAAAGTTAGTAAATGCCTTTTTATTTAATAGTTTATTGTATATTCCAACTCAAAAAAGTGGAACTTTAATTCATAAATGCTCTTTTTTTTCAATTTTTGGATTTGTTACTTGTACTACTATTTATACTTTTAACAGAGTTTAACAGAGGTAGCAAGTTGATAGTTCTATGTAATTTTTTGTTTATGAGACAGAAATATTTAGAACATTGTAGTATTTTTCAAGCTAGATGTTGGTCTTAAGTGCCATATGCAAAACTTTTTTTTTTTAAGTAGATTTGACACACATACAGAATGTTGCCAAAGGTTATGAATTTGAATCAAATAACGTTATATATTCTGTAATAGTAATGATGTTACTGTAGCAAAGGATTTTTAATACTGTAAATTATTTAAAATACAGTAGTTGCACCTATATAAGAGAGAGTATCAGTGTGTCAACCAATCAACCTTTACCTGTCCAAATTTAACCATAATTTATTTCATATACAGCTGTTTTGACTATTTTTATATTTTCAGGTATCGAAATATAGCTAATGTTTTGTGTGAATTAAGTACAAAAACTAGTCAGTTTTCTGGAACAAATTAGGGCATGAAAGTTGGTCTGCTTATCACTGAAAATATGATGAGTTATAACATTAGATAAACTTTATTTGAAGGAGAGTAATAAACAACTCAGCACATAAACATTTTATTACATTTTCATAAATTCTCATTTGTGTTGAAAGTTTTCTGCTAATAGCATGCAAGGACTTTTATTTTTAGATGTACAGCATTACTAGGTAATGAGAATAAGCTATAGAAAATAAGATTCTGTGTTTTGAAAAGAATAAACAACTTGCTGTTTTCAAAACGTTTTTATACTAGACTAAAAAGAATTAGAATCAAAGCCCTAAACAGCTTGGGAGGCCATCATGATAGATGTCTGTAGCATTACCTGTTGGAAGAAAATTATAAATTGTTAATTAAAAGATTAGCTTATTTCCAAATCGCACATGAAAATATGGTGTTCATAAGAATTAATGCATTACTGGCCATTTATTACACAATTGTAACATTGAAGTATGCTTTTAATGATTAACATTTTGTAGATGTTTCAAGAGGAACTTATTTTATAAGTTGAAAACAAGATGACAGAGATAGGTGTAATCAAAAAAGTATGAGTATTTTACTGTTCTAAGACGCCTTTATCACTTGTACATGATGAAATACATGTTATAAACCATATCTATAATGATGGTATTCTGTAACCCATGTTTTCATGATGTTCTAATATGTAATCAAAAGGACTTTTGTTGGAAATGTATTTGAATATCAATATGGTAACTGTTATGAGGCATTTCTGTTTTGACAAAATTTATGGTGGTTTTAAACAGGGAAAGAAAATATAAATGCACTCTTGTGAAAGGAGGATTTTATGATTTGAATATATATTAAATGTGCTAATTTGTCTTATTTCTTTTGGAACAGATGTTGTCATGTTCCAGGGAGGTTATAAAAATATGAATGAAAAATAGCTGGTAAAATTAGGCATTAATTATGAACTTTGTCTTTAAGTTTAATTCTAAGAAATTCTCACTTGATTGATCTAATTCTTGGCATTTATTTTCTGTTATATGTTTTATTTCATATAGGGTATATATCATTGTAGATTAATTGACGTTTGAAAAGTAATCCCAGGCTATACCTAATGCTGCTCTCATATTTAGTGATGCTGAAATTCTGGTTTCACTTGGTTTCTAATTTTGCTTGCATATATTCAGAATAGCTCATTATCAATGAAAGTTGCATGACTAATCTCATATAGTCCTTACTGGTTAAGTAAATATTTATCATAATAAAAGATCACTGTCAATGTAACACATGAATAAATTAAACTTATTCTAGGAATAGTTAATTGTTTCGTACCATAAGTGAAAGAAATGTACTTAGGCATTATCACTTGCAAGAATTTATATAATTCTTAAGCACAAATTTTGTCTGTTTTTTCTCCCCAGATCTAGTCAGAATGAAGAAAAATTTGCTCATTGTCCGTCTTCTTTTAGTAATTGTATCACTGTATAGTCTGCTAATATATCAATGATGCAAACATTGTTGTGAAATTAAGTAAGAATTTTTAATGCTATACTTATGTCACATAGACACAGTTTAGTCACTTGAGATTATAATTAAGCATTGCAATGATGGTTCCTTTTGTCATACAAAATATATTAACCAACTTGTTGTTGGTTTTTCTAAAAATTCTGTGCAAGTTGGGATTTTATTTATTTTATTTGTATTTTAGGAAATTTTTTGTGGCAGCTCCTTTCACGATATTTAGCCTTATATTTGTAAGTCTTCTTGAGTGTACTAGCTGTTCTTGTATTTACACAAACTATGTCAGCTAACATTTGGAATAATGGAAATCACCAAATAAAGTTTTGTATTGAGATTTGTTTTCTTTTGAAAAGTTGTGGTTCATCATTACATCCAAATCATAAAATTCGTACTCAGTTGTCTATACTTACATATCAGAATTTGTATTGCTATTGGTTAACATTTAAACTTGTAATTTTACCAACCAAGCAGATACTTTAACCCATTTAGCTACTGCTTCCTGGATCAGTTTTTACTTCAAAGTTCGTTAAGCACAATGGTAGTACGTCATCTTGTGCAGGTATAATCCTTCGGAAGAAGTGAAATTTGAGATTCAGCAGATTTGACTCTGTAGCTATACTTACTAGGAAAATCCTGTAGTTCAACCAAGCTTCCATTGATTGGTACAAATCTTGGTTTTTACTTCATTACTTAGTAATTAATACCAGGGTATGAATTGGATGAACCATGTTTGACCACCTGTTGACACACAATCCAAATTTGCTCTTCATAATCATTGGTGTATTATAAGAATCCCACTGTTGCATTAGAGTAGCCCTATTAATAGCTTGCAACAGATGCTGTTGATTAGCTTCCCCTATCTATTATTTCGGTTTAAAATTATGATGGCTAATACAGATAGTGCTTGTATGACTTTGCAGGGATATCTGAAACTAACTAACAAGAGACAAAAACTCTGCTTGTCATTCATCTTGTAAAGCCAAATTCTAATTTCACTGTTTTCCACTTTAAAACATACTTATAGTTACACCATTTAAAATCAGCATTATTAGCAAAGATTGGAATTACAATTCTGAGCTTTATAAGCCAAAAGCTGTAGTTCCAAAACTCTGCCAAATTGTTTCTTTATAACCAAAAAGAACCAGGCATGACCAAGTGGTTAGCTGAGAGTTCACGTTTCATGTCCCAAGGCTTCAAATTTTTCCCGCGGCCCATGATGGCTCTCGATCAACCCTTAGGACATCTTTTTGGCAAGCTAAATGTAATCATTTTACATTTTAAAATGGACAAAGCAAATCACCATAAATATATGATACAAATCCAGGCGTGTTCGAAGAAAACCAGTAAATAAGTTATTAAAACGATTAGTAAAGTTTGAAATATTATATATATATATATATGTGTGTGTGTGTGTAATTAAAACAAGTTTAAAACTCAGTAGTATATTTTGAACTGTATCGACCCGTGAGTAGTAATAAGTTTACAGACGCTAAAATCCGCGGTTTGATTCCTGGCAGTGCATAGCTCAAATAGTCCTTTGTGTAGCTTTGTGTTAAAACAAGAACATACTCTGACTTGCATACGAAATTCCTTAAGTCTGCCTTCGGGTGGCCCTATGGTACCGTGAGTGCCTGTAAGAGTGATATGTCAAATTATTCGATCAACCAAGGGTTTGCGGTGAGTGCTGTTAACTAGATACTTTCCGTCAAATGTGTCATTTCCAAATTAGGGACACCTATGAGAATATAGACATTTATGTAGCTTTGTGACGAAAATTATGACATCAAGTCGAATTCTGTCGCACAACAAAACTTTTAACACACTGAAACCTCACATGTACATTGTCGAGAATAAAGTGTCTTACTGGATTAGATGGCCTGGACAAATTATTTCTTCGGATAATTGATTCACAGTCAGAAGAATGATGTTCAACTATTTAGAAAAACACGTACATAGGATATTTTGGTTTAATATGATCTTTTTTTTTTCTTCATATTGAATACAACAGTAAATATGTCGGATAAACCATGATGATTTGATCTCATCGAAAACTGAATGGTTCCAAACCCACTGGGTAATGTTCTCGTCCAATCTAGGTACATTAACAAGATACATTTCCCAAAATGTCCAGAAGCTCGTGTCACCTAATCTCTATCAATTCATGACTGACAAAGGCTTAAAACGTCTTATACACAGTAGTAGAAAGCAAAGCGACAGGCGTTTTGTCAATTACAAGTTCCATTTATTTCCTTTCAGTATGTACCCCCCTCCCCCTGGCAGGTCAGCGGTAAGTTTCTTGACTTACAATGCTGGTAACTGGGGTTCGATTCCCCAGGGTGGACAGAACGACGATGGCTTATTGTTTAGCTTTACACGAAGACAACAACAATATCTTTTCAATAAATACATAAAATATTCTTTCTGTGCATAATATTATCTAGCAATATTCATTGCACTGTTTGCACACGTTTTGTTGTAAAACCCAAAGCTACACAGTGGACTATCGCGGGTATGGAAACCCAATTTCTAGCGTTATAGGCTCCCACATTTAGTGGGAGTAACACGAATTTTAGTTACAGTAGAACTTTTGTAAAATGATCCAACAATAAATATTGTATGCTTTATTTATTCTCATCTGCATTCTGAAATGTGTGACCAAACACGTGTATTATCAACATAAGCAATACACCATTCTGATTATGAATAAAGACCACATAATTTGAACTCCATCAGATTCTTAAAAGTCGATACGTTCACTGTATTGTGTGATTTGCATTTTTTCTGTTACGTGGAAATTAGCACAAGCTGCACTAAGACTTACTTAAAATACAAAACCAATTAAACAATATTATATTAACCCTAAAATTGTGAGTCGCTCATACAGAAATTGTCATGTTTTAGTGGTAACTTTGAATAGGAGAAAACCCGTAGAGTGTCCGATATGCCCTGAACATGTTGAAACCCACTATAACAGTTGATATCAAAGTCAAACTGGAACGGCCTTGAGTAAAAGAAGCCTAACCCTGGAAATACTCCTTATCAAATCAATAACCAAGAAAAGAGACAGTATTTTTTCGAAGGAAGAGGTCCAACCCTAAGCTTATGCAAACTTTTATATGGGAAATTGGTCTGGTACACCTAGTGCAAAAACAGTAAATTTCATTCAACTATTTTTGATGAGTTTCGTTAATTGAGGTCTGATTAATAACATTCAAGTCTGTCAATTACTAAACGATCTAAGACAATGAAAGCTATTACAATGATAAGTTTGTTTTGAATTTCGCATAAAGTTACACGAGGTCTATCTGCGCTAGCCATCCCTAACTTAGCAGTGAAAGACTAAAGGGAAAGCAGCTAGTCATCACTGCCAACTCTTGGGCTACTCTTTTACCAACGAATAGTGGGATTGATCGTCACTTTATAAGCCCTCATGGCTGAAAGGGCGAGTTAGTGTGGTGGAACAGGTATTCGAATCCACAGGCCACAGATTGCGAATCGAGCGCCCTAACCACCTGGCCATGCCGGGCTTTAAAAACAACGAGTTATATGTTTGTTTATTTTTAGAGTAAAGCCACATTTTTACTACATTTTATTCTTACTATTCATTTTATTTCACAATTTTATTGCCCGCTTTCGGTTGGATTCTAACGTTCCTGGAATACCTGTCTTTATCTGAGTTCTATAACTTCAACTGTAACACCATCGTGATTGCATCCACAACGTTTGTATTTCATACATTTGCAACTGAGACAAGGTAAACATAACTTCGGTCATTCTCCCAGTAGATATTGAATAGTTTAGCACCAAAAACAGGTCTTTGTGGGTAAATTCCTTTACAGTAAAAGAAATGAAGAAGATAGCTAAGATGATACAGTGGACAATTACGGGCAATAAAAGATGTTGAGAAAGCTGGTAGTAAATATAAGTTGTAGCGATAATGACGGGTTTAGTGAAGATTCGATTTGAACTTGAAAAAAAAAAATCTGTGTTAAAGATACGAGACAACACACTAGTTGACTGATAATTAATTCCACATGAAGCCACAAAAATTTTCTTTGTATATAAAACTTTTTACCACCTGGATCAATCTTAGTTCGCTACACTTACATGAAATTATTTGTATGAAACTTAAGAGAATTACATTCAAATAAAGCACTGAAAATACAACTAAGCTAAGAACTGATCAAACTAATTTGCACTTTTCCACTAATATTTTAGAATTATAAACTTTTGGTTCCTACATTATATATAAAGTAAGCCATTGAGTATTTGGAAACCTTAATTACCTTAATTCTAATTACGTTTTTACTAGTGTCTAAAATTACATAAATGTATGCAATGATATAGTATCATACTTGAGGTTTTCTATCTGAATGGCACATTATGCAACAATCTAAGCAGCTTGAGCATGGACCCCTTTAAGCTTTGGCACAGCTTTCCCTAATTTAGAGCTCTTGATCAAAGGGATGGCAAGCAGTCGAAATGTCTTCTACTTATATGACTAACCTTAACCAACTAGAGGGATTGATGGTCACTTATAATGTATACCGCCCTCATGCGGAGTGTATTCAAAGATATATCGTGGTCTCGAAGTGTGGACCATCCAATATTCAATCCAGCACGGTGACATATTGGCCATGTTCGATCCCATCAATACATATTTTTAAAAAAGTTCCTCGCATGACACCCATAACGAGAAAGTTTAAGTTAATCTACCAAAAGTACCCTTTCCCAGTGACGGAAAATCTTAAGTTAATCTTCCAATTTAAGTTATTTAACGGACTTTAAAAAAGTTAATTGTGTTGCACTCTTGTTTCACTCAGATCAAAACCTCTGAGCTACTTATACCGCCCACCTCGAAAAGTAATTGTTGAGCATTTAAGTCATGTTAAGAGCCGCTCAACATGCGGACTTACAACGCTAGAAACCGGATTTCGATACCCGTGATGGGCAGAGCACAGATAGCTCTTGTGCATAATTAAAAACAAACAAACTACAATTTCCGAAAGAGGATGTTAAGGAAATAGATCCTAAGAACAAATTTTTAACTGATTTCGTTTAAATATTTTTAATATACTATAAATGAAAGGATTGCAGGGCTAATCATAAGGTAGAACAGATTATCGACGAATGTTACTGTTATTTTATATATCTTGCGAATCGTGGTGTCTGTCCGAGCGTTCATTTATCTCCCGTTTAAAAAGCTCAACATTCACTTTTGAAATGACGGGAGAACAGGCATGAATAACGTTGATGGCAAATTTTGTTTCACAAACAGGATATTCTACGCTAAATTGTTAGGAATTAATCACACTATTCAAAATGTGACGTAAC